GACAGAGGGAGAGAGGGGGAGAGAGGGAGAGGGAGAGAGGGAGGGAGAGAGAGAGAGAGAGAGAGAGAGAGAGAGAGAGAGAGAGAGAGAGAGAGAAATGCGAACTACTGCATCTGCTCATCTGTCTCCATAGCATTTCCATCTCAATGGCGCCCCCTTGACGGCTCCGCGGCTCCCAGGATGAGTCGCGGTTGTCGGCGGCATGAGCAGGCGCAGGCGTTTGGCCCTGCAAGGAGGCGCCTCTCTCTGGCTATGCTCTGCAGGTGGCGCAGGCCTGCCCTGTCCAAAAAAAAAAGGGGGGCATGCAAAATTAAATTTGGTTCGAATTTCCGTTGTCCCTACCTCAGTTTCCATAAATATTCAAGTTCAAGTTATCCTTCATGAACTGATCTGTACGCCAGCGTTTTACGAGGTCTTGGGACACCAAAATTTCTCCAAAACGTGTCGAGTTTCGCATGATGCCCTGCCCGAAAAGTCACGTGTGAGCTCCTCGGCCATCCCCCCCGAGCAGTGGCAAGCGAGGCAAGCGAAGGGGGCGAGGAGGTTTGACATGTAAATTTCTCATGGACACACAGGAGGGTGATGAGGGCGATGATGATGAGCAGGACGGCCACTAGGAGGAGGAGGAGGAGGAGGAGGAGGAGGAAGGTCTTCACGTCATGGGTGGTGTCCCCCGCAGGGCTTTGTGGGGGCGGCCGACACAATTTAGCCCCCCCCCCCCTCCTCCTTCCACCCCAGCCGCCACACACTCTGTGGGACGCGCAGTGGCCGCACCAGTGGGGCGCCCTGTTCTGGGGCCGCCGGGGGTCCGCAAGGCAGTCCGCCGGACCAGTCGGAGAGTCCGGCGGGCCGGCACTGGGGAACATGGAAAGTGCCATTATTAGTATGTAGGAGCGGCGCAAGCGAGCGCGGATGCTGGGGCTGGACCCCGTTGTGGAGAACCGTTTGTCATGCGCACAGACCCCCCCACCACCGCGCAAGTGGCTTCATTTGTCACGCATACTCGAGTTTGTGCGAAAACATTAATGTCACCCACTTTGCTTTTCTTTATTATTGCGTTTGAACGTGGCCATCATCATTCCTTTCCACCACCACTCACAAGAAGT